AATCAATCCACGAAATGGTCTTTGAAATAAAAATCAAAAGAACTGATACGAATACAAATATTATACTAATTACTTCACAAATGATCTTTCATACAGTCGCTTTAAGAAAAGTTATACTAATACATGTAGTTCCTATAATATATTAATTCCTTCATAATTGACTTACATATTTTCATCAATTGCTGTCATTTTGTGAAAAGTAGGTCAAGTTACGAATGTAGGTTAAACTTGATTTGTCTGAAAATCAATGACAGATGGACAGACAGACGGATGGATGAATAGGGGCTTATTCAAAAATCAAGGAATCGTTCATGGTATAGTATAGCAATAGCCCTCGTTTGTAACCTTAGCTCCATAAAGGGAAGAAACAGGATAATTTAAAAGATGACTTAGCCGTACAGTTTATCAAATAAACCAGATCAGCCTACCTTGAGAGAGACACAGAGCAGGATCGGATCTTATAAACACTGAGGATTAAGTAAGTGATTTTAAGATGGGATATAAACAGACGTAATTAATAGTCTACAACTTAAAGTGCCTTGATTAATGTTTACCGATTTTCAGAAATCAGGTTTACATTAAGTAAGGTAACTTATTGCAGTAATTCCAAGAACTGAAAAGGTATTTGTGTCAGCTTAAAAAAACATTAAAAGCAACTCCTAGGAATAGAATTACCAAGCAACATATAATCAATGCAGTCAACAACCAGCAACTTGTTGATAACATACACCTGACACGCCTGACTTCAATTTCTTCAGCAAATGCAATTGAAAACTGCAATTTTGACTGGGGGGGGGGGGTCACTCTCACTCCCTGAGCCCCCCCCCCCTAACTACAGACCTGGGATCTGACTAACAACAAACACACAAACAACTAGAGCTTCCGTATCCCTTCTTTGGAAATTGGGTGTAAATTTCCAATTAGTTTCATGGAGTTAAAGGGTAACATATTTTCACTCTCATCTAATGTAAATTGGTAAATGTGAGACTAGCCCAAAGGCAAAGATATTGCAATAGGTTGTGCTATGTATCGTAGGAAGTCTAGCATCAAGTCTGTTTTTCATAGATATTGCCCTACCCTATGTTGGTGTGGGTGTTACAGGGGAGTCAATACAAAGGCTTGATGCAAGACTTTTTAAGGGGTAACGCTTTCTAATGTTTTAGGGGCAATGCTAGGCAAGAGGCAGGTGTCAAAGACCAAAATAACTTTTTAAACTGACACTTTGTAAATGATGTCCAATATGGTACATCTTTAAAGTTTTGTATAAAGAATGCATCATAATCAAGATTTATATATCAAGAAATTAAGTGATTTTTCAAGTCAGTTCTTTCAATGCTATCTAATAATATCTAGCCAAAAGAAGACTACTACTGCCATCTTTTTATTCATCTATATAGCAACTGATCTATTAGGAAGTCAATCATGCAGAAATGCCATAACCATTAACTATAACTAATTGAAATATAAGGTACCATAAACCATACAAGAACATTGACTTTCCAAAATTTCTTTCAAAATCATGCAGTTTTTCACCATTCTGACTATTTTTTGAGTGATTTTTGCAAAATTTGCCAAAGTGAACCCCCCTCCCTAGAATTTTTGGGAAATGTGAACCCCCCTTGGAAAATTCTGGCTATGGGCCTGGGTAGTATATACCTCCTTTAGCCTCAATTTGCCTCATCTATTTATATCATGCCTCACCAAAATTTTAATCCCGACTATACATTATATATGTATGTATGTATACAGTATAATACCACATGCTTTATCACAAAAGCTCTCCACCAAAAGTAGGCCCAAATGTGCTCATAGTTGAATTGTATATGCCACCACAGATAATTAATTATACAAAACCCATTCCTAAAGTAGCAAATAAGTAAATCCAGAAGCACATGTACTCCACATTATATTTCTACAACTCCTGTGCATTTTGATGGACATAATTGTATTCTTTAATTTTATCCTTCCTCTAAACTTATAACTTGTTCATTTAGATTAATCCACTATCCAAATGTGTATATTTTACAATGCTGCTGTACATTGTGTATTAAATTTTTTTAAATTCAATTAAATCATTTTATAATTTTGTTGACATTATGACCTATGATATCTTCTGTAAACAGCTAAAAAGGTTAATTATTGCCAAATAGAGATACTAGAAAGGATATTATTAATGATTAGCATGTACATGAAATGGAATAATTGTCAGTCTAATATGGGGAGGGGAATCTAGGATGTGGGGCCAAAAAGTCATAATGTTTTTGTAATTTTGTTGCAACATAATCTATAGCCATTCATGGACCGAAGGGAACTCTTTTCTTCAATATAAAATGATCAGTTTACTCATGGAAAAACTGGATAGAACAGACCCCTTAGAATAGACCCTTTATTTGGAAAAATGTGAACAAGTGTGAAAGATTGGTAAAATGTTTTTGAGGCCCTAAACAGGAAACATTGTTATAATTTGCAAATTACAAACTCTTAATCATAAAACCATTTATCCATAAAAATTGTTATTGTATGATCTGTAAAATGAAGCCTTCTGATTGGTCAGTTCTTGTGCTGTACCAATCTGTATTTCTACTGAGGTTTTTCCTGTTGATCATTTCCTTGGCAATACAGAAAATATTGGTACGGGGGGGACAATCTCAGTAGCAATACAGAGGATCACACGATAAAAATGTTTTTTTTTTTTGAATGATTTGAAGTGCAATACAGGATATATTCTGTCTCGAAATTCTGTATTGGCACTCGACTTCATCTCGTTCCAATACAAAATTTCTCGAACAGAGTATATCCTGTATTGCACTTCAAATCATTCAATAACTTATAACCATGTACATGTAGCGAACATCTGCCATCTTTAGAATGCAAGTGAACTAAAGTGATATAATTATTGAATAATTGAATTGTCATCATGGGAAGGTCATCTTGTACCTATATAAGATTGTGAGACACATCAAGGACTATGACATGTAGTTAGGGATTGTGAGACACATCAAGGACTATGACATGTAGTTAGGGATTGTGAGACACATCAAGGACTATGACATGTAGTTAGGGATTGTGAGACACATCAAGGACTATGACATGTAGTTAGGGATTGTGAGACACATCAAGGACTATGACATGTAGTTAGGGATTGTGAGACACATCAAGGACTATGACATGTAGTTAGGGATTGTGAGACACATCAAGGACTATGACATGTAGTTAGGGATTGTGAGACACATCAAGGACTATGACATGTAGTTAGGGATTGTGAGACACATCAAGGACTATGACATGTAGTTAGGGATTGTGAGACACATCAAGGACTATGACATGTAGTTAGGGATTGTGAGACACATCAAGGACTATGACATGTAGTTAGGGATCATATCAATGTTTCAATGTTATCCAAAAACATATTGTATCTTAGATTAATTTTTGTATGGTACTGACAAAATAAAATGGAAGTTTACCCCCAACATCAATTCATTACATTTCACTCTGCAAATTTGTGGGCATTATGGTCAAGTCTGTTCGTGAGGATATGGTCTGGAGTGGGGATACTAGGGGTTAATATTGGTGATTTGATCTTTACACACATATAAAGCACTCTCCCCCTTCCTTGTTTGATGGATAAAATGAGGATTATTTTTGTAGATCAGGTAATGGTCTATCTGAAAACATTTCTAAGATGAGTGAAAAAGGACATGCTTTGAGATAATGAATATAATCCTACTTTTAATTTCCTATTATTAACCAGAATTTTCCTACTTACTCGTGTCACCTCAGATACAAGAGCGTGCGAATTCTGTATAGGAGGATCACTTATATCTGAGAGTGCTATCAATTAGTATCAGTATTAAAGGTATTAATTAGATAGATATCTTAATTATAACTTACAATTGTATCAAGTAATTAGAATTAATACTCTGCATATAAATATATACAAGTATATTAACAAAGATGTATCATTCTCACATAGCCTCAGGGGAAAAATTGGCAAAAACTGGCTTTCTGTCTGAAGACTATCATTGGTATTTAGCAATTACTTGGAGTATTATGGAGTATTGCATCAAATGTTTGGTAGCTCAGGGGTTGTTCAAATTCTGGGTCATCGCAACTTCGCATACTTTAATATTCTCACTTCATCTTGTAGGTATCTGCAGAAGTACATGGACTTAGTTATTTCCCCTGAAGTGTTGATCTGGCTTACAACGCAATTTTATAGCTATTAAGGGGAGAACAAAATTAAAAGTAATGTCCATCACTTATTGCTATAATGAAGGCCTTTCCATGTACAGAAAACACCCGCCTAACAGCTCAAGACAACGGCAATATAGCACTTTTTCAAAGTGCAATAACAAGTGGGCGATAACAATAGTTTACCCATGAGAGGTGATACGCCTCATGGATCAGAGTTCACACTCCCTTTGTAAGTAAAACTCCAAAGATAAATCTTAGGACTTTTCTAATAACATGTTTTTTATGTCCAACTTATTGAAAATATCACATATCACTTATTGAAATTATCAATATCAAGTGAATGCCAACAGATTTAATTTCCCGAGAGCTTCTTGACAATAATTTTGAAAATTAAGAGTTATTAGGCTTACAAAAGTATACTGCAGTTCATTGTTTGTAACCTGACTCCAAAGAACAATACTATCTGTAATTTTAATGACCCTTTGAAATTCTAAATGTTCAATTATTAAAGCAACAATAGATTTTAAATTATCAAACTTTTACTAAACACAAGTCTGTTCTGTTAATATATTCTACCTGATGGTAGCAAATAACCTCCTGCTAATTGGTCAGAAGCTATAGTTTCAAATTAAGCCTGTATGTTAACTTATTATTAATCTACAGGGGGCCGTATCAAGGATTCTCAGATACCCATGTACTAGGGACAATAAGTAACACCAATTTCTGAGAAGTGCTATTGTAAGTGCATGATATAGGTAGGAGAATATCATTTGTATCAATTAAAAATAGTGTAAATTAGTCTATACCTTTATTTGGGACCGTATCTGCTAGGTTGGCCAGATCTTCAGTTCTTGCATTCTCATAGCGACATTTCACTGTATTGGCATCATCCCAGACTGCTTTATTGGGCCCCTGAAGACTGAAATATAAATATAAGAAATTTAAATGAGATATGAACCAAGGGGCTCTCATCGAGTAAAATCAAATGAACAGAGTAGTTTAGTAAAAATGTTTTCCATATTTGAATGTGCAACTCTTATGCAAAAGAAATTCCCAGATTCACAAAACATATCGCTATTCACCTCCTCCACAATATCAGATATGTACAAGGTGATGCAAAATTGCATGTTTTAGTACAAAGTCATTTCTATACATGAATCTATAAGACTTAGAGATAATAATTGAGCCTTGCGGGACTCCTTCAAAGTCTCCCTAATCCTTATAAGACAACATTTTCATTTAAACTTCAAATATTATATTGAATATTGAAATATTAACTTTATTCAAGAAAACTCAATAAGTTCCAAAATAAAAACGCTCCCAAAATAGAACCTTGTAGAACCCATATAAAAAGTCATTATGCCCAAATTTCAAATAATTGATGAATGTGACTATATTTCTAGACATAACTTACACTAACACTTTACTTTACTTACTTACACTTTACTACACTGAATGAGAATTATTTTAACCATTATCTTTATATTTGAATCGAGTGTCATTTGTCCCGAATTATAGGCATAATAGACTTCATTTTTTCCTGAAATAGTGTTTAGTTTGATTGATCACAGGGTAATACTATTTTTCCGAAATATATCACCATTTGAAATATTATCTGCCAAATCCCCCCCCCGCCTTTTAAAAGCCTTGTATGGAGTACTTTTTCCTCTTGTATGTTTTTGAAATGTAAATATAGTGAAGGGTTGAGTGGAATCACCAACTATCAATGAAATAAAAAAAAAGAGTCAGTATATTCATCCTACCATGTTTGTCACAAAAGCCAGGGGAAGACAAAATCTGAAATAAAATTAGACCTTGGTTACTCACCACTTGCGACTTGCCCACACATCTAAGCTGGTAGCATTAGGACAGTGTACAAACTGTTCCTTACCAACTTCAATACTCTTCCAGTATAACACACCTTTGAGATCCTGTGTGTAGTTGGCAGTGCATAGATCTGGAATCATAAAGAATGTATGTTCTGATGGCACAGTTCTGATACTTGCATATATAGCATCTTCCTCACGCACCAAGGACAGTGATGACCTATCATGATAAAAAGCATAGTTGGCAGTAGTTGGCAGTATAGTGTTTTATGTTCAGTTTTGACCATGTAATACATGTATGACTTTACAATGGTTGGCAGCTATGATTAGAGTGGATTTGAAAATTTAATTTTAAAGGTGTCATATTTTGGTGTCCAGATATATGTCCAAACAAAAAGGTTAAATATAAAATATAAAAAGTAGGCTGAAAAAATAACTTGATTTTGATATTGTAACTTGTAGAGTATGTCATGTTGCATATTTTTGAATTAATGATAAAACTAAGAAAGACATATTATTTCCAACGATTCAATGGAAAATCTCGCAAGTAGAATACTATTTAAGGTGCCAAAGGTATTCAATTTACACATTACTTGACCATCAATGTTGGGATATGTTATAGCAATGCAGGCTGTCCAACTGTCCCGCAATTTGCATATTTGTCACGCATTTGCTGGAAAATTTAAAGTCACGCCAGTTTCTTTGCGTGACAATATATGTCACGAAATACGCATTTTAGCTGATCATTGTCAAGCAAAAATATTCCTGTAGAAACACTTAAAAAAAGTGATCGCCGATACAGCACAAAACTGAACACCAAAATAAAATGAACGCATTCATTCGGACTTTTCACCCGGATACCGTATATGTCACACATTTTTCTCACAATATTTCACCTTAGACATACATAGCATAATTGTTTGGATATTTACAAATCAATTTCCTCGCTTAGACAAATGAAGACAAATTATTCTACATAGCACATATCATTCCACATTCCATCAATTGTGGAAAATAATTAATTCTATTAACACCGATATTGCAATTATCAAATTCGATGAATGAATTCTATTGTTGTGGTAATTGCAATTTTGAGGTTGCCCTGAAACTACAAACTCATGAATACATATCCCCATGGCCAGTATGTGTCTTACCATTGCGTTCAATTGCAAATCCCAAATCACGGTCTATATTAATGGTGTCTAGATCACCTCTTGTGAGGGACTTGAGCCAAGCATGGTACATTTTATCTCTGGTAGCTGCTATACCCCACACTATTTGATCTGCCAGAACAGTCGCTTTTAGTACACCATCACATTGCAGGATGCCATTCTTTTGTGGCCATGCGCTTATGGCTGATATGGTTATGACATGGATGCCTTCAACTTGCTTGGAAGCTGAACCCAACTGAAAGATACATGTTTACGTCTAAATGGGCAACTTAAATCACAATCGATTCATTTATTCAAGATTTTCTGTATCAAAACTTAAAAAAGAGAACTTTCTATATTTAAAAATCTCCTGTGAACTGTGTTGTTACCATGTACCTTTCTGTTAAAAAATATCCACCTAAATTTTGCATTGAAATTACCATTTACTTTAACATTAATGTGAATGCTCAACTTTCAATTTCAATTGTTCAACATACAATTTCAGAAATGTGTATCAAGATTTTTTTTTTCTTTTTTTTATTCTGTATAAAAAGTTGTACAAATACAATATTGTAGAAAGAAAACATACAGTAGTTGCATATGCTATAATATCGTATTTATATATAATATTAGCCTTATTTAGCATAGTAGTTTTGATAAAAAGAGGAAGGGAAGGGGGGGGGGGGGGGGCAGGGGAAAAGGCAAGAGGGGGACTTTTTGTGATTTTCTGCACGATGGTTTGAGCTTGGTGAGGGTTTTTTTATGTTCCCAGTGTGTATTTTACTACGTTATGAAATGTTTGAGTTTCAACCATTGCTGTACCATAAGTTCAGGTTTTTTCTTCTTTGGCTGATGCTTTCTTCTATTTTTTTCTCTGTTTTTAGGAAGTTTTGCCAGCCTATCATATTAGGTCTCCTTATTTTCCTTTTACATGTGTTTAGGAATATCTTTTGTTTCAGGAATAGATGTTCGTTTTCTGTTTTTCCATCTCCGAAAAGGAATTTCTCAATTGTGGGTACATCTTCGTCAAGTTGGTTGAAAGATGTTATAAGGAAGTCTTGTACGGCCTCACAATGGTATATTCCATGTTCTAAAGTATCTATGTCACTACGGCATAGACTGCATATATCAGTGTTATAGCCGTCTATGTTCATTTGTTTTAGTTGTTTGTTATAGATAGTATCCGGAAGAATATTTTTATTTGGAAATATTTCTCTTTTGTCCTGAGAATATTTTTTCTATTTTTGTGGATTTTAGCCCACATCAATGGATTTTGTAGTTGCAGTTTGTTTTGCCACTTATCTTCCATCTTCTTTGGCAGTTTCACAGCATTGTTCTTTTTTAGTAAAATCTTGTAAACTTCTTTATTGTTTGTCTTTTTTAACCATTCTGTGTTAATTGTGACATTCGGATTCTCGGTTTCTTCTTCATTTTCTCTCGGGTGTCTTAATTTTCATTTCCAATTTTGGGGGATGGCTGTAATTATACTGTTATATTTCAAAGTATTCCTTTGGTTCATAACAATATCATATTTATGGCCTAATTCTGCTGCTGTGAGGAATCGATTTTCGTCCTGGATGTCTTTTATAAATTCAAGATATTGGGATACTGTCTTAATTTCACAACCATATAATAGTATAAGGAAAACAATCCCCCAATATCCCAATCTAATACCAAACATTCATTAAAACAATGCCTGACACACCTTCTACGTCAGGCACTCAGGTGTACATGTCCCGATTCTTTAATTATGTAATTCAATATTTTTGTCGATTACCGTTATTTAAAAGTAATTGGAACAGCTATCGTCTATAGAATATAATCATAAATGTGATATATGACATTGTTCCCTACCTACAGTGCATGTATCAATTTGCTTATTATAGTTTTATTGGCACAACAGGTGGGTAATCACGAAGTAAATTATCGGTTTAAGGTGACATGAACAAGACATACATGGTGACAAACAATGTGTTCACACCTCACTTTCGCTGGTAACATGTCAGAAGTACTCATAATAATGGCATGAAATGCTTGTTAGAGTGGTATGTTCAGATTACAGAAATGATTAATAGTGGAAGTGTTAAAAGCCTTGTTCTGAAAATAGAGACTTTCATGAAGGGTACATATATGGTTTCCTTAGAGTGACATATTCAGGGTATAGAGAATGTTTAAAATTGAAAAGTTTTTAGATGATAGACTTTCGTGCAAGGTAAATGTTCAAAAGAGAAAAGTGTTTATAAATTAAAGACTTTCATGCAAGGTTTAATGTTCAAAAGAGAAAAGTGTTTATAAATTAAAGACTGTCATGCAAGATAAATGTTTAAAATAGAAACTTATTTAGCAATGAGATATTCAAACAAGGTATTCGTTCAAAAGACTGATGTGCTCTGGGTATAAAAATGTTAAAAACAGAAAACTGTTTAGAAATAAGAGACCTTCATACAAGGTGAATGTTTAATAAAAGAAAAATGTTTAGAAATTAGAGACTTTCATGCAAGGTAAATGTTCAAGAGAGAAAAGTGTTTAGAAATTAGAGAGAGTATAGTGTCGAGGGTGTAGAATGTGAAAATAGAAAAGTGAAACATATATTTGGAACTTTCATGCAGGGATTCTACAGTTCAGATTATACAAAAGTTTAAAATAATTTCTTTTTCAAAATGTGAGATTATATATAGTCTAATGATTGATATATTCACATTTTCTCTTGTAGATAAGTAGTGTGTTTGCAACATGATTTTAGGAGAATTGTTTTCTTGTGCTTACCACTCTGATAATTTCAGCAGCCAAGGAGTTTATTTTACTTTCTTCTCCAGACAGTTCATCTTGAATGTAGATAGTCACATTGTAAAACCATTCATTGATAAACCCTACAAATTGAAAGAGAAACATAAATTGGTTTATTTGTCAATTTTAGCTATATACATGTAGCTGAGACTAACATACTGTAGAACATAATGATGGTCTCAGTCAGGCTATAGTCATTGAATAAAAAGACACGATTGTAAGTTTTGATTGTGACTAGCATACTTACATCAAAAGCTGCAAGTTCAGATCCCCTAAATTTAACGTATAATAGGTAACTGTCGTGTTAATTTGTCACGCTTAGATTTGAGATGAAGCCTATGAAAATTGTAATCGATTGATATAGTTATTTGAAATAATCGGAGACCCATGTTTTGGCTCACCCTGTACTTGAGAATTCATTGAATAAACTGCCTAATATGTTAAACAAACAAATCAGCATTTGCGAACATGTTGACGTTGAATGTTTTCACGTCCAATTGTTAAAACTACCATTTTGGAACTAAAAATTCTATGGGCTTGACATTCTCAAAATTCATTTCGTTCTTGGGTACCTTCACTACCTGAGGTATGGAGGCACGGGTTGCACCAAGGGAAAGATCAATACCCGGTGATTACAGCGGGAAGTGGCGCTCACTGAACGAAGATTGTGTAAGCATGAAATAAATGAAATCAACAGTTCGTGTCTGTCTAATATTAATACTTGTACATTATATTGGGTTTATTAACAGTTTGAATAGACCGAGACAAAAGTGAAGGCCCTGCTGGTAATACGAACGAGGTGAACAATGAAATATAAGATCGGCAAAACTAATCAACCTCTTGCTCCGACCATAACACTATTCAACATTATATCTTTTTTTGTAATTTAGTAAAGACGCACTTTCATAACCGCCGACTAAGAAATGATAATAACTAGGAACTGCCTGCGTAGGTTAAGTTTATTTTAGCAGTTTAAGACAATTTGTTTTCTTTCATAACATATTTCTCGAAAGATATATATAAATGTTTTATAGGTAGAAAGAAGTGGTAACTATTCTTAATCAAAAAAATGGATGCAAAACTTGCAAAACAGATTAGGACAGATATTGGTAATCCAACAAACGAAAATATATAAAATAAGCCATTTATGTCTTGAAGAAACTTGAAGCAAATTAGTAGGTTTGAAAGAGATGGCAACCATTTGAAATATAATACAAATAAAGCGCAGCGATCTAAAGAGCATAATCTTTCAAGCGCTATTGAAGACAGGCCACAGGAGGAGAAGGCGGCCATTTTGATAAAGAACAATGGTGATCCGCTCGATTACGCTGGTTACCAACGGTTCGTTTTGGTAACAAAATGTCGGAACGTCGAAGGTACGATTTTTCTTTTCTCCTTATATCACGCGTTGTAGGCAGCCACAACGACGTTTTTTCATACAAACGTGTTTCAGTATCATATGTTTTAGAAAATGTACATGTTTGCGAAAAAATAGCTCAGAAGACAACAGAATCCTCGATTTAATTCCTCACTTAGTTACATAAACGGTTTTGGTTAAAAGTGCAGATCTTAACCGTTTTTCGGAAAACCGTTTGTGTAACTTAAGTGAGGAATTAAATCGACGATTCTGTTGTCTTCTGAACTATTTGTTCGCAAATATGTAAATTTACTTAAACATACGATACCGATTCACGTTTGTGTTAAAAATGTCGTGGGAATTCTGCCTACAACAGTGAAATAAGGAAAAAAGAAAAATCGTACTTTCGATGTTCCGACATTTTGTGTTCGTTTCGGTAACCAGCGTAATCAAGTGGATCACCAGTGAAGAAGCCATTTTGCAATTGAAATCTTTGATGTAGTGCAAAAATCTCATAACGTGTCAAACTCTTTTGGTGTGATATCAAATCGCCGTATTTGATTTCTCATCCAGACAAAGGGAACCCGCGCGAGGGACAAATGAACGAACGGCCAATTCTCCACAGGAGTAGATTCATTCGTTGGGGGTAAAGGATAAAATAAATCAAAATTATAACTATAAACTCAAATATTTTTGAAATAAACAAAATGCCAATAGTTCGATACTGATTAAATAATGCAAATTCCTGAATATTGTATCTACCCGACTTGTGTACCTGTTATGTCCGACTTTGAATTGCACAGTGCCGTTTGACAGCAAGTACTGCATTTCGTCCAGCGCTCTCCCGTGCAATGACGTGAATTTTCTACACTGTGAATGCTACAGGTCTCTCCCTCCTGGCACTGTTTGCTCAAAGTGAACTCCCCATTTACCACCCGAGTAATTGTCTCACAGGAATTCTGAAATTGCACGAAGGAGCCATGTTTAAAAAATACACTAAGGATAATTCAGAAATCGGGAAATTATGTTGACATTGAAATATTTTTGTGTTTGAAATGAAGAAAGCTGCCCAAATAACGTAATAGTTTTGCCAACTCTGGCCACACTAAGGGGGGGGGGGGATCTCCTATCGTACTATACTCTGTCTTCCTGTAAAGACAATGGAGAGGGAGATGTGTATTAAGAGTATGTCCTAAAATATACCGGGTAGGCTTACATACCAATAATTAGAATCATTACATGCGTCAAACTGATCAGTATGTGATTTAATGTAGTAATAATATACCCATATGACAGGGCTAAGTAGTTGTCATACAACACTGCGGATTAGCTAAATGTAACAAATTATTGTTAAGAAGATATTATTAACTGTACGCCACACCCGGACGCCACACTATGTGACAACCATAACCATTTTGTGCGCAAACTATTCTAACTATATCTATATACTATTAGAAGATAGAGGGCGAACTATTGGAAGCAATCTTTTCAAAACCATGCCAACGTTACAATGCTAATTTTATTTTCTGAAAAAGAATGCAAGATTTGAGATAAAGTAGTTTTTAAGATTCATTAGAACTGAAAAGGCGACACCCCCTTTATAGTTCTTTACCAGGTAACCTGAAAAATAAAATCAGAATTTGGAATGACGAGAGCAAAATATATTTTTAAATTGTGACCATTTTTCGAAATTACTTAATCTACATTTGTCCCGTTTAAAAGGATAACAGTTACATAAAACCATAGGAATGAAACCACATCGGAATAGCCTGACAACGGTAAAGTCAGATACCGTTGTCACAAATGGCGGACATAACCGTCGCATCAACTCTTTAATCACACGGTCCTTATTTCTTGGGATTTTATCGTCGCTAATTCTGTGCATGTACCTCTTGTGATGATGTATCATATTAAATCCAAATTTCGATCAGAATGGGTCGTGAATCGCCACAATATAGCGTCTTCGATATCGTTATTGACAACGGAATCAGATTTTGAAATAATTAACAAATACAACGGCATATGTATCTCATTTTGATCGGTTAAATTAAAGACTTTATTTCGATCGTAGAACATTATTAACTATACAATGAGTATAAAGACACTTTGATGTTGTTCCAAAGGAATTTAGTCTAAGTGCTTTATTAGACATAGAGTTCATGAAAAACTAATTGAAGAGACGGTTATGTCCGCCATTTGTGACAACGGTATCTGACTTTACCGTTGTCAGGTTATTCCGGTGTGGAAACGTAGTAATCACTTCGTCAGCCCTCCCATTGTCAATGATAACAACAATATCTAGTGGCATGATGTAATTTTATGAAATAAGCTTAAGATACAATACGAAAACGATCAGCATGTGATAATTCAATTAGTGGTAGTAGAGAATTACATGTTTAATACTTTTTACCGATAAAATAATGAGTAAAATGTGTGCACGCCTCGAGGATTAATAATGGATGATTTGTTTATGTCTTGTATCTCAGACTTTGCACTCATGCTGTCGCACTTATTCAAAGTCTGGAAAGAAACATACGCCAGGGGCGAAGCCAGCTTTCAGACGGTGGGTGCGATCGCCCAAAAAATTGGTTTTCAGTCAGGGGGTGCGATTTTGGCAATTAACAAGCCAAAAAATGAGATTTGTTCGGAATTTGATGCAACTTTCTTCAAAATTGAGCTACAATCTTCAAATAAAAAGCATTTTTAAAGCCATTCCTCTTCTATCTCATGGTTTTATTTTTATTGGTTCTGGGGGGGGGGAAGCTCCCCTGGCTACGCCTATATACGTGGTTTGAATCATCTATAATTCATTAAATCCATTAGTGAAAACAGTCAGCACCTCTAATGTAGATAAATGTTACGTAGTAGCAGCAATTTAAAGATATTTTGGGCACAAAACTCTACTGATACTGGGGCATAACAAGGGCAAGGCCACATTTAAAAGACAAGGCCACTTATTGTTGGGTCAATTAAATATGCTGAAGAAAATAGAATGATAAAAATAAAAGATATATTTCTTACAGTTGACTCTACTTGTATTGTACCATAATCAGATAATTACATTCAGTTCATATTTACGTGAGCACATTACAATTAAATAAATACATTTACGTTAACAGACTGCGTCTCTGTACATATTTACATTAACATACTGCGTCACAGAACATTAAAAATATCGTCTGTCACGACGTACAATTGGATTTTTCATAACGTTAAATAACCTTCCAAATTATGATGGATCTTCTCACATTGTTCAACATTCTATTTACAATTATATTCATGTACCTCTGATCCATATTCAATACTATGCAATTGTTCTCAGCATTATCAACGCATGTACAGGGTGGGCCAAAAAAACAATACCCAACTTGAAATCAGGATAAAAATAGTTACATTCAATATGGTACATTGACTTACATATCATTTTAAAGGATATACAATTTCACACCATTTGGTATATAACACTATGTCATGAAATCAATAGTAAAGTTTTGTTATACTTATTTGGGAGGCCGGGTTGCTATTTAAGGTCTCCAGATTTAAGGGAGAAAATAGTAAATCTGCGGAATTATGTTAATTTTTATTTATACTTGTAGAATGTCATTCTTTTGTCAGGTGAATACATGCTTGGATTGATATTTTCATCATTGTGTGACTAAATATATTGTATATGAATTTCAGTGTTGTTTAATAACATTTTACACTTTATTTATTTAAACAATTTTCCCAATTGCTCAATATACCCCCACCCCCTCCCCTCTGCATCAACAATAAGCTTCAAGTGGTAGCGTAATCTATCAATAGCCTTATTGAGAGATTTCTGTTGCTATTCATTTCAGCACATTAGGATTCTGTTTCAGCTCATCAATGCTGTTTATTGGATGCTTTTGTTTGTACCATTTCCTCGAGATGGCTCCATGTATGGTAATCAAACACATTATATGTAGCATCGGGGCTGTTGGGTGGCCAAGCATCGAGATCAATCAAATTGACACCTTGTTTGCAAAGGAATGTCAATGTCTCCTGAGATCTATGGTACGAGGCAATGTCTTGTTGGAAAATAAAATCCTCGTCACATATACGTTTAATGTCTTTTAACATACCCCCTTTGATTACTTATTGATAATAAACAACACTAAAATTCATAAACAATAAGTTAAGTCACACAATATGCAAATTTACAAGCATGTATTCACCTAACAAAATGATATTCTATAAATAAAAAATTAACATCATTCCGCAGATTTACTATTTTCTCCCTAAAATCTGGATACCTTAAATACCAACCCGACCTCCCAAATAAGCATAATAAAACTTTAATATTGCTTTCATGACATAGTGTTATATACCAGATTGTTCGAAAATGGATTACCTTTAAAATGATATATAAATCAATGTATCATATTGAACATAGCTATTTTCATTATGATTTAAAGTTGGGTATTGTTTTTTGGCCAACCCTGTAGATTTTCAGGTGAAATAGAAAGATGCTATGAGTATCAGAATGGTTTTTACACCGATTAAACAAGGTAGGCTATCTGCGCCATGAAAAGTTTAAAAGTCGATTTCTTAGCTTTCTATAGCAGGTTTTGCAATCAACGACAAATGCTTTATGCATCAAAGAATACAAGACGGGGTTGATCGCATTATTCAGGTAGAAGAGATGGTCAAAGAAATCATGTAACATTTTATCGGTATGTGATTTCCTCTGAAATAGTGCGGAATTCACGATAAACCATAGCCTCATTGCCCAAAACGGTGTCCATGACAACACGAATACAACTGTTACCAAGAACAAAAGTTTGGCAGTTTTTAATCCGTTAGACGGTATAGCGTGCTTTTTGCTAGTCCTATCTTTTCGAACATATGCTTTGTCAACTTTAGCAACTGCATCTTGTTGATCAGATCCAGCTTGTGTTTCAGTTGCGTGTGGAGGTTTCTCAATATGTCCTCCGTATTCATTCCACTTCGAAGTAAATGGTATATGTTTCTTCTTCAGTTTTTCTGATAATTCTTTTTCCCGTTGAGCAATATCATATGGTAGATTTATATCTGTACAACTACTTGTCGAAGGAATACATTCATCAATATTCGCGCCCATGATCTCCGGAGCAGGTATTAGGGTAATGCCTATCTTATGATCGTCAATCACGACGTTCTTATCGTCATTCCTTTTCAGTCCTTTCTTTTTATTACTGTTCTTTTTTCGTGTATGATATAAAGGGTGGAGATACTTAACATGTACATCGTGACTGGTTATATATAGCTGGCGTGGTAACAAATCTAATTCGGTTGTTTGTTCAGTTGGTGACTCATTTTCAATACTGTGTGCGACGGGTTTCTTAAATGTAGCATCAGCATTTGCATCGCCATTTTCAGCCATATCTTCTGCCATACTATCATTTTCTTTGTACTCAGCCTTTTCTTCGATATTTTCCATGAAAACAAATTCGGATGTACTTTTACGCCGACGAATAGTCGGAGATGACTGCGCTTCTTCGCTTACACCTTTGCTTATTTTCGATCTAGATAGAATCTCAGTTTTCTTCCCTGAAGAGGATGAACTTGTGGCATTTAGTTCAAAGTTTCGTGTGGGTCCTATCCGTTTTCGACTCTTGTATGCTGCTTTAGCAACAGCACCATACATCGTTGATATTATGGTCAGTATCATTACGTACACAGTCATCACGATCATGTTAAATATAGATTGGGACAGGGTTCCATCATACACATCGCTATAGTGACATAAATGTGCCTCGTAAAGGACATCATTAACTTTAAAAGTAATTGTTCTTATTCCATAGAATTCAAGAATAGGAATGCTTCCAAAGGTCGCCATAACAACCACAATTGACAACAGGACGACCATTCGTTTAAATGCACCGGCAAATTTTAGTGGGTGGCAAACAGCGTAGTATCTGTCTATCGAAATTGCAGCCAACAAGTTTACTTGCAACGAAAGATTCCAGTGAATCATAAAGTCAAATATTTTACATATCAGTGAAGTTTGGGTGAATTTCATGTAGAGTTTCGCAATGACATACGGGTGTAAAATTACACAGCTAAAACAGTCCACACCAGAAAGTATCCACATAAAATAATTCGCAATCGATTTCTTAGTTTTCATGTAATATACGACGAGTACTATTAAATTACCAATGCCTCCAACTATCATTGTTATGAACATGAACAGTTTTATCACGAAAGCCTCTTCCGAATATGAATTGTTGAGTACCAAATTGATCAATCCCTCTTCATATTTCATGTTTGGAAGCGATGTGCTATTCTCCATTGTCAGCTGAGTAGTGGTTTCCAAAGATTGCTCAAATTTTCTTCGGTCCATCTTTTTTTACTTAAATTATAATTAATATGTCTATCTGATAAAAAATATATTATTTTCAGTTTATGTTTAAATTGTATTCTGCTTTTTTTCTTAGTCCGTTAAATGACACTCATTCGCTAAACCAGTATACATGTAGCTGTAGCGAACTATTTGAATGACAATTAATAGAAACGCGTCAATTATTATCAGTTTATATGATGCCCCAGTATATGTGACTCTCCTAACTGCTTTCAATTATCCTTAGACCGATACTTATATACCATCCTTGAAGTAAGTCACGTGATCTCTTCCGGATAAGCAAAGTATTACAACTGTTCCTCGGCAAAATAGACTGAAATGTGTCGTCATTTTCGCATTGTTCGTTACACCAAAGAAAGAAACTGATGCTATGTAATGGGTACATATATGTTTATGCTTATATTTAATAGTTCATGTTTATCATCATTTGCGTTTAACTTTCACTAGTGCTTGAAGTCCAATAACATGGAGTTAAAGCAGTGGAAATGCTAAGTTAAATAAGTTAAAGTTAAATAACTGTTCGCAATGCTAATAATACATGAAACTGATAAATAACTGACTGAACTTTACTTGTGCCTAGTTTCAAATAAATGCCATAAATGCTAGAAGTACCTAAATGCAATATGTTTTGTTTATTATAATCAGTATGGATCCTGAATGCTATAAGTACCTCTGTTCTGTATACACCAGTGTGGATCCCCAAAATGTTAGTACCTTAATAAAATATATTCTGTACAGAAATGCAAATATGGCATCAAATTACCTATTTTGTTCTGATAATCATAAGCTACACTACGTTGTATAGGGTGTCACATTACTCATTACTAGAACTGTTAAGTCGCATCAAGTGACATATTACAGTTACAACAATGCTTTTTGTTTTTTGCCAATATTGTATAACAAAGCATTATCTTTCACAAATCACGAAGTTGCCAGTAAGTAGTTTAATACCCATAGTTTCCAGCTTCACCATCGGATGGCTAATTTGGGTCAGATAACATGGCAGATAGAGGAAATCTTTCATTTAAAGTAGTTGTACACTGGTAATAGGTGGTTCCATGCTGTAGCATAGGAGCTATGTTCAGCTTTAGGACATAAACATTTCGTGATATCACACTTTTGAAAAATAAGTTTTTAAACTTTACATTGATACATTGTACTTTTGATGGAAAAATGAATTATACAGTAACGTGATTTTTAATGTTTAGCAATATCTAATTAGACAAAAAAAAACATACAAAAAATAACACAGCTAAAACAGTAAAGTATCAACATAAAATAATTCGCAATCGATATTTTAGTTTTCATGTAATATACGACGAGTACTATTAAATTACCAATGCCTCAAACTATCATTGTTATGAACATGAATATCTTGATCATAAATGGCTTTTCTGAATAAGAATTATTGAGCACCGAATTGATCAAATCTCATATTTCATGTATGAAATATGAACGAATGAATTCGATGAGGTATTCTCTAGTGTCATTTTGCTGACTTTTCTCTTTTTTTCTCAACGGTCCAACAGAATATCAATCTTTCGAACAGCTTATAATTTCAGATCGTGTCATTTTGCTGGTTTTTCTCTTTTCTCTCAATTGCCCAACGGAGCATCAATCTTTGAAACAGCTTATAATTTCAGTTCATGCGGGGATGACCTTTATTTTCTACTGTCAACTATATGAGACGCAACGACAAATTCCTCGGAAACTGTTAAACGTAGCTGCTAATCAATTGAACACGAAAAGGCTAACTGGGCTACTGCTACAGTCTCACAGATGATGTACTGACTGAAATACTCCAGTGTGATCTCAAGAACGAATATTGCTCATCACCTATTCATAAGGATGTATTGCTGTACTTACTTGGTATGATGCGCATTGTTGTATCGTTCCTTTCGATATACATTCGCCATCACTTGTCCTGTTTACACAATTGTAACATTGAATCCATCCAGGATCTAAAATTACAAATAAAAAGTTCAATGTGGAGAATTCTATAGCGTAATAAACATGACAAAGAGACAAGGGCCCCTGCTTTATTTTCAAATTTTAAAAATCCATTAAATGATTCATTAATTTGTTTTATAAAGACTACATTTTTAATGAAGTAATTCAATTAATGATGACAAGTAATATATTTTAGTAATAAAGGAAATCAGAAACACTGGTGGATAATGACGATTTTTTTTATCTGCCATCTTTCTTACCAAGAAAACTTCAAAACACACCTGTCATAAGAAAAATAGACAAAAATGATGTGAAACAGACGAAATCCTATCTCGAAGTCCATAGGCATTTCAAAGGGCCAACATCCATTCATTATAGTAATCAACAAGAAGATAATCATAAATTATTTTGTTATAAATCAATTTCTGATATCACTTTTCATAAAACCTCATACCATTTTATGGGTTGTTACGGGATTTGTTTCACTATGGCGAATCTACTCTTAAATCTTCATTTTCGATCATCCGCATTTAGAAGCTTGTGCATATTTATACAATACTTTAGGACTATATGCTACATATTTTAGCAAACCTGGACAATCTCCAAACTCGTTGTCCTGAATCTGTACAAGTATCTGACTGTTGAGGTTGATGCAGCGTGCACCGATGATGAAGAGCTGCTTTTGTTGGGACCACCAGTCTTTCAGGTACTTTGCATTACAGTAACATATTAGGGGATTGTTACGAAGTATACTGGAATGAACAAGTAGTATTGTGCATCCAGGATAAAATACTTCATTTGCGAGTTCAATCAACAAGAACTTAGTTTTGTACAGCCACTCGTCAAAATTAAATTATCAATTTGAAAAGTTTACAGATATCACCAAGTGAATGTCAACTATCAAGAAATCGGATGAAAAATATAATAATAACGAGCTTTAATGGCCTCGAAACAAAAACAAATTCACTCCATACTTACATTTCTTCAATTTTAGGTGACCCAACAAAAGCATCTCCTGCTATTGTTTTGACGAAATTATCCTCTAGATGCCTAAAAATAAGGAAGGAGGGGTTTTGATTTTCAGATTGTTAATACCATACATACAATATATATACGAACATACACATACATACACATACATATACAAATATTTAATTCTATTAAATAGAATTAACTATTTGTTTTATTATATCACTGTCATGACATCTTCTATAATTAAATAAGTCATATCTGATATGTTAACATTGAGATGCATTTATATTTCTTCTAACAATATAACAATAAATACAATAAATATCAACTACCAAATTGTAGTATTTTAATTTAAGGTTTCATGTTAACATTATAATTAATTGTAACATTGCAATGGGTCAATGAAAATGGAACCATTGTGTTCATACTCATAGTATTGGCCATGTGCAGACTTGCCAACCTCCCGTTTTTTTACGGGAATCTCCCGTAAATTATTTGTTTTTCCGTAAAAAATACCAAACTCCCGTACCGTTTTCTCCCGTAAAAACTCCGGTAAACCCCCGTACCGTATTTCTACTAAAATCTCCCGTAATTTTTTTAAAAATATGGCCGTAAGTCTCCCGTATTTTGCTTAAATCTCCCGTATTCTGGTATAACTCCCTAAAATCTCCCGTATTCTTGGTATAACTCCCGTAAAATCTCCCGTTTTCTGGTATAACTCCCGTAAAATCTCACGTATTCTTGGTATAACTCCCGTAAAATCTCGAAATCTGTCGAAATCTACCGTATTTAAAAGGAATTTGACAAATTTGTGACCTTGATTATTGCAGGCACGCTTCTTTCTTTTACTCCAAGAAGGATTGGCTCCCATGGTTCACTATCGAAACTTTCATAAATAATTTAAAAGTACTCCATTCCCATGATTCAAATTGCTTTTCTGCGATCAGTTCGGTATAAGTTTGCACACCAAATGTCCACAAACGGGGGCCAGTTCATATTCTGTCATCTGTCGGGAGAATACATTTTGTTTTTCTATGGCGCATAACAAAATATTCCCGCAATATAAGGCGCATTATGGGTAGGGACTGCTGTGAAATAATGAACGTAAGTGACATCTATCTTAGATTATAAGTTCTAATTAATTTCAGAGGGGGAGAAACACCAGGGTTCAAAGATGACATACGCTTATAATGTAAATCTGTATTGAGATGACATCGTCGCTGATTGGTCAAAAGTCGACAAACAAATGACGTCATCAATGGCGGTTTCAAAATTTTCGAAACACGCTTCGAATAATATTATGTTCATTTCTGGCGTGTTAACCAATATCATAGCTTCTCATTTCACATCAAGATAAAGAAAGGTGTACGGAATATGCCTATATCAATTAAAACATCCCATCGAAGTGTAGTATTTGAAAACTAGCCGATGAAAATTCGAACGAACGAAGGTGGTAAGCAAGAGAGGTAATTATGTCTGTCATCTTTAAACTCTGGGGCGTTCCCTCCTCTTAATTAATTTATTAACTGGGCATGCGTCATAATAATTTCAACCAATTAAATCGCTGGATTTAATGCTCATGCGCGAAAAACCGAATCTAAAAATGGAACCTCACGCAGATTGCCCTTAGCATATAGTGAACGCCACATATACATTTTACTTAGCTTTGATCAATTCGTTTCCAAAGTAATAAAAACTCCCGTTTTTTCAAAATCTACCGTAAAAACTCCCGTTCTTACAGAAATCTACCGTAAAAAATCCCGTTTTATCAGAAATCTACCGTAAAAACTCACGTTTTTTTCAAAATCTACCGTAAATACACCCGTTTTTCAGAAACCTACCGTAAGAACTCCCGTTTTTCCGAAATCTACCGTAAAACCTCCCGTTTTTCAGAAATCTACCGTAAAAACTCCCGTTTTTTTTTAAATCTACCGTAAAAACTCCCGTTTTTTTCAGAACCTTCCGCAAAAACTCCCGTTTTTTCTGAAATCTTCCGTAAAAAAGTCACGTTTTTTAAAATTTACCGCGAAAAATACCTTTTTTAGAAAATCTCCCGTAAAAACTCCCGTTTTTTTCAAAATTTACCGCAAAAACTCCCGTAAAAACTACCGTTTTTTTCAAAAATCTCCCGTAAAAACTCCCGTTTTTTTGAAAAATACTCCCGCAAAAACTACCGGATTTTGAAAAAAACTCCTGTAAAAGTACCGTAATTTTTTTTAAATCTCCCGAAAAAATTTCATTTTAGGTTGGCAAGTCTGCATGTGGGAAACATGATTGGGAATGTTTTTCAAATGTCCATTCTGAGATGACTCCTTGTTAGTACTGCCATTAACACTTGTATAATATGTATGTATAAGTCATGACCGTTGAATATCATTTGATATTCACCGGAAGTCACGTGACTTCCGTTGAATATCGCTAGTTATTTTTAGTCACGTGTAGGACATGGACCAATAAGAGAGTGAGGAATATGACAGTGATATAATAATATCTAGTATTCTATATCTTCATAGTTTTATGTTGACTTTATCGTTCCATACTTAACGTTTATTGAAGAGCTTGGAAAAATGTAACATGCATTTTATGATATCAGGAAACATTTTCACCTCTGCTCACCTTTGTAAAAACAATGCAATAATACTTTAAAATATGCACACAATTAATATATAGATGGTTAGACAAATGGGAGACAAATATAACATGATATACTTACAACTTTCTAAGATTTGGCAAATGCTCGAATGTCCTAGACTTAATTTCTCTAATTGTGTTGTTTTTTAAATATCTGAAAAATACAATTATAATTGTTGAAACAAATGTTGAATACCGTAAAGAAAACAAAGGCATACAAGCAGTGCGTTTCATCATTGAAAATGACACGAAATTCGTTGCAATAGAGGAGTTTCCATAAAGCTTTGAAATCTCGCTTTTCATGAGATTAAATAGATTTGCACTTTTAACATCTAACGACTAATTTCTTTCTTTTTTAATAGCATATTTGAATTCAATAATTAAACGTTTTCCACAATAACCACAATAATAACAATTTGATTTATATAGCTATGTCATTTAAATTATTTTCCCTGATTTTTTAAAAAATGGGGCAAATTTCATTGTAGCAATGCTAAGATTCTTCAAAACCTTGGTTTATTCGTTTGACAACCAAAACCTTCATGATGAATCACAATAGGTACATTGACAGGATCATCAGAATTTCAGACAGCACTTTTTCATAAATCATTTAATTAAGTGACCATTGCATTGCAAGTTCATAATAACATGGACATGGCCGGCCCAGCAAAAGGAAGAACGACAAGGGTGACATCTATTATGTCAGCTAGACACTCATCAAAACATAAATATGTATTTATCAATAGATGTTGTCTCGTACCCTTGACTGTTTAAATAGTTTTCTACACTGCTAATGCTCTCATTTTTCATGCTGTCAATGAACACGAGATCTGGGCATTAGTATGAACAAAAGGATTTTTAATGCTTCTTGGAGTTCGCAGTTGTCCCGAACTTCCAATTAACTACACGAAAATGAAATCTTAACAGGCTTCCTTTTTGAGAAATAGCAAACCTTTTTTATCTTAAGTAAATGAGTTTTATCTCAAATATCAAATCTTCATTGGCTGAAAGAGGTGGGCCATGTAAAGATACGAACTTTCATATTCTAAGTCTAAGAGTCTCGTTAGATACATAAGGGTTATGTACTGGGAGGTTTTGGATATGGGGTTTATCCAGAGGGAGATATGCATATCTACCTGAGGGACCACAGGGACCGAAGGTAGATGTGCATATCTCACAAGGGATGAACCCATATCCAAACCGACCGTACATAACTGCTTTATCCTACAATGTATACCAAGTAGAGTTTTCAGTGAAATTACCGGAAGCGGGAAGATATGCACCGAAGCGGGAGATATGGCGGGAGATATGGAGGTTCTGGATATGGAAACCTCAAAATCAGGATACGGGATATATCTTACCAACTTATCTCCCTGAAACTCTACTTGGCATAGGATACTATAGTATATAGGCTATATTAAAAGAACTTACAATTGTGTTAGTTGATTTAATCCTAAGAAAGAGTCAGCTCTTATGTCCGATATAAAATTATCTTGCAGTAACCTGGAAAATACATAAATAAATAAACATCCATTTAATTGACAAGCAAGGCAGTACTGTACATATGGAATATATAACATGCGTTTAGTATGGTATATATACAAAGGGGAGATTATTTTTCACCATTTCGCAAACTTTTGGAGCCATGCCATTAACCTTTTTAAGATAAACACTTGGGAAAAGCAATATTCGATACCTAGGACTGATGACTTTGAAATAGCATAGAGCATACGGAATAAAAACAATTTCAGAATAGGAATTCAGGAAAATAACTTATCGAGCGTTTAATTACGTCACCATTTATTGCGCAGCTCTATAGTCCATAAGTGTGATATTCTTACGTATAGACGACGATTTATATACTCTAAGAGCGAGGAGGGAAATTCTTAATAAATGGAGTATAGTTGGTTTGGCAGCATTTTCAGTTAGAAAGAAGTCTTGGATGAAAATTCTACCTAGGTGATAGCTTCACAGAGTGGTACATAATTCTTTTTTTTCAGGGATTAGCCCCCCACCCCCCAAAAAGACCCCACCCCGGGAAAATAATTTTTTCATTCTCGATAACTTTAGATATCTTGATGTTTGTAAGTTACATACATAGACATTATATATATGAATCATTTGCATAATAAATAATGCCAATCACTCCTACAGAATTTGAATAATAGTACAAAGTATGTACCCCAGGGGGCAAATTCATGACCGATTTTCTTACTTTTTAGAGCCTCACTTTTGATTCAGACACTGGAAGACATTGGAAAAATTTACATGAAGTGCTCAGTAGCAAGGCTATAAGCCCTGAAAGGTTCAAACTAATTGAATCAGTAGGAACCGAGAAAAAAATTGTTGAATTTTTGAAAATGTTGACATTTTTGAGAGGGGTGATTTTGGGTATGACTATAGCTGATGCCTATGGTTTCTATATCCATCCCTCTTTGATTATAAATATGGTTTTGAAGTATTGAACTAAGATGTAAAAGATAATTAAAATGGGTTTGAGGGAAGTTTAAAGTTTTAAACAAGTTCAAAATTCGAAGAATTGTACAATATCAGGTCTGAATTTACGAATTTTAGGTAAGACCTTGGGTGAACCTTAGATTTTTTACATCTGTCCCACTTTGATGATATTTATAGTTTTGTAGTGTGGAACTTAGATGTACAAAATAATTAAGATGGTTTTTAAAAAGGTTTAAGGGTTTTAATAAGTCCAAAATTTGAAAAATTGTATAATATCAGGTCTGAATTTGCGAATTTCAGGTAAGACCTTGGATTAGCCTTATATTTTTTACATCTGTCCCTCTTTGATGGTATGTATGGTTTTGTAGTATGAAACTAATATGTAAAAAATAACTTAGATGGATTTGAGGAAGATTTAAGGATTTAAATGAGTTCAAAATTTGAAGAATCGTACAATATCAGGTCTGAATTTACGAATTTAAGGTATGACCTTGGATGACCCTTATGATTTTTATATCTGTCACTCTTTGATGATATTTACGGTTTAATAGTAATGAACTAAGATGTAAAATATAATTTAGATGAATTTTAAGAAGGTTTAAGGATTTTAACAAGTTCAAAATTTGAAGAATTGTACAATATCAGGTCTGAATTTACGAATTTCAGGTAAGACCTTGGATGAGCCTTATATTTGTTACATCTGTCCCTCTTTGATGATATGTATTGTTTTGTAGTGTGAAACTAAGATGTCAAAAATAATTAAGATGAATTTTAAGAAGGTTTAAGGATTTTCGCAAGTTCAAAATTTGAAGAATTGTACAATATTAGGTCTGCAATTAACATATTTCAAGTATAACCTTGGTTGGTTCTTATGTTATGTTTTAAAAAACTTAATGTTTGAAACAAGTTCAAAATCTCGGCGAATTGTACAATATCAGATTCGAAATTAACAGATTTCAAGTATAACCTTTGTTGGCCCTGGCCTTATGTTTTTAACATCTACCCCTTTTTGATGATATATATGGTTTAGTAGTGTGGAACTAAGAGGTAAAACATAATAAAAATGGGTTTTAAGGAGGTCTAAGGTTTTAAACAAGTTCAAAACTTGACAAATTGTACAATATCAGATCTAAAATAAACGAATTTCAGGTATAGCCTTGGATGAGCCTTATGTTTTTTACATTTATTTCATATAACATATATGGTTTTGAAGTATGGAACTAAGATGTAAAACATAATTAAGATGGGTTTTAAGGAAGTTTTAGGTTCTAAAGAGGTTCAAAACTTGACAAATTGTACAATATCAGGTCTGAAATTAACAAATTTCAGGTATAGCTTTGAATGATCTTCATGTTCTTTTCATTCTAAACCTCTTTGATGTAATACTAAAATGTAAAACATAATTCAGGAATTTGGGGTTTAAAGGAAGTTTAACCCTAATGTCTGCAGGAGGGGGGGTCAAATTGACCTACCACTCTGTTTTTTAAATGGTACTTTTTGCGAGTTTTTTCTTCTGCCATCATTATTATTTTTCAGGTATAGCCTTGGATGAGCCGTATGTCTTTTACATATATCTGTCTATGATAACATATATGGTTTTGTAGTATGGAACTAAGATGTAAAACATATTTCAGATGGGATTTAAGGAAGTTTTAGGTTCTAAAAAGGTTCAAAACTTGACAAATTGTACAATATCAGGTCTGAAATTAACAAATTTCAGGTAAAGCTTTGAATGATCCTCATGTTCTTTACATTCTAAACGTCTTTGATGACTTACATGGTTCTGAATTATAGGACTAAAATGTAAAACATAATTTAGGAATTTGGGGTTTTAAGGAAGTTTAACCCTAGTCTGAAGTAGCAATAAGTGAAAATAAAGAAAAACCTCCTTAAAACTCCAAATTCCTACATTTTAGTTCCACACTACAAAACCATGTAAATCATCAAAAATGTTAAGAATTTCAGACCTAATATTGTACAATTTGTTAAGTTATAAACCTGTTTCAAACCTTAAAGAGAGAATCAGATCTAGCAAGCAGCCTAACAAAAAATGTTTAAGTTTTTGAATATTTCTGGCTTATGTCATTCCTTTTCATGTCTATTTGCTAATTATCCCCAAAGTGCACACTTTATTTCAGGAAAACTAAGGATTTCTACAATAATGTATTATTTTTCCATAAAAATGGTAACCATTCTTATTATTTTGGGAGAATTTAAACACTTTTCACCCATTTTAGCACTTCGAATCCATTATAACTTCATCAATTTTTAACACATCGTGAATCTTTTTAGAGATATTGTATTTGAGATCATAAGGAATAGATTGGTAGGTGAATTGTACATGTTCCTTGTAATTTTGTCATCCCATAGATCTGATTCTGCCTTTAAACTTCCTTAAAACCCATCTAAATTATGTTTTACATCTTAGTTCCATACAACTAAACCATATATATTATCATAGAGATATAAACCTGAAATTCATTAATGTCAGATATGATATTGTACAGTTTATCAAGTTTTGAACTGGTTTAAAACCATAAACCTCCTTAATACCCATCTAAATTATGTTTTACCTTGTAGTTCCACACTACTATATATTACCAGCCATATATTATATCATCATAGAGGGATAGATGTAAAAAAAGAATAAGGGCCATCCACAGTTATACCTAAAATTAATAAATTCCAGACCTGTTATTGTACAATTCTTCAAATTTTTAACTTGTTTAGAACCTTAAACTTCTTTAAAACTTGTCTAAATTATGTTTAACATCTTAGTTCATCAAAAAGGGATAGATGTAAAAAAAAAGGCTCGTCCAAGAAGGTGATAACCAAAATTCATTAATATCAGCTCTGATATTGTTCAATTCATCAAAATTTGAACTTGTTTAAAACCTTAAACTTACTTAAAACCCATCTCAATTATGTTTTACATATTAGCTCCACACTACTAAACCATATCATCAAAAAGGGATAGATGTTAAAAATATACGGGTCAAGCAAGGTTATACTTTAAATTCTTAATTTCAGATCTGATATTGTACAATTATGCCAAGATTTTGTACTTTAAATTCTTAATTTCAGATCTGATATTGTACAATACGCCAAGATTTTGAACTTGTTTAAAACGTTGAGCTTCTTTAAAACCCATCTAAATTATGTTTAACACATTTCCACACTACTTAACCAAATATATCATGAAAAAGTGATAGGTGGAAAAAACATATGGGCCAACCAAGGTTATACTTGAAATTCATTAATTGCAGACCTGATATTGTACAATTCTTCAAATTGTAAAAATCCTTAAACCTTCTTAAAATGCATCTGAATTATTTTTTACCATCTTAGTTCCACACTACAAAAAAACAATACATATCACCAAAGAGTGACAGATGTAAAAGTATAAGGCTCATCCAAGGTCTTACCTGAAATTCGTAAATTCAGACCTGATATTGTACAATTCTTCAAAATTTGAACTTGTTAAAATCCTTCAACCTTCTTAAAATTCATCTAAATTATATTTTACATCTTAGTTCCACACTATAAAACCATGAATAGCATCAAAGAGGGAAAGATGTAAAAAACATAAGGGTCCTCCAAGGTCATACCTGAAATTCATAAATTCAGACCTGATATTGTACAATTCTTCAAATTTTGGACTCATAATCCTTTAACCTTCTTCAAATCCATCTAAATTATTTTTACTCATTAGTTTCACACTACAAAACCATACATATCATCAAAGAGGGACATACGTAAAAAATATAAGGCTAATCCAAGGTCTTACCTGAAAATCGCAAATTCAGACCTGATATTGTACAATTTTTCAAATTTTGGACTTATTAAAACCCTTAAACCTTCTTAAAAACCATCTTAATTATTTTGTACATCTAAGTTCCACACTACAAAACTATAAATATCATCAAAGTGGGACAGATGTAAAAAATCTAAGGCTCACCCAAGGTCTTACCTAAAATTCGTAAATTCAGACCTGATATTGTACAATTCTTCGAATTTTGAACTTGTTTAAAACTTTAAACTTCCTTCAAACCCATTTTAATTATCTTTTACATCTTAGTTCAATACTTCAAAACCATATTTATAATCAAAGAGGGATAGATATAGAAACCATAGGCATCAGCTATAGTCATACCCAAAATCACCCCTCTCAAAAATGTCAAAATTTTCAAAAATTCAACAATTTTCTTCTCGGTTCCTACTGATTCAATTAGTTTGAACCTTTCAGGGCTTATAGCTCTGCTACTGTGCACTTTACATGAATTTTTTCAATGTCTCCCAGTGTCTTAATCAAAAGTGAGGCTCTAAAAAGTAAGAAAATGGGTCACGAATTTGCCCCCTGGGGTACATACTTTGTACTATTATTCAAATTCTGTAGGAGTGATTGGCATTATTTATTATGCAAATGATTCATATATATAATGTCTATGTATGTAACTTACAAACATCAAGATATCTAAAGTTATCGAGAATGAAAAAATTATTTTCCCGGGGTGGGGTCTTTTTGGGGGGTGGGGGGCTAATCCCTGAAAAAAAAGAATTATGTACCACTCTGTGAAGCTATCACCTAGGTAGAATTTTCATCCAAGACTTCCTTCTAACTGAAAATGCTGCCAAACCAACTATACTCCATTTATTAAGAATTTTCCTCCTCGCTCTTAGAGTAATAAGAATATCCCAATTATGGACGTATAGAGCTGCGCAATAAATGGTAACGTAATCAAACACTTCATAAGTTAAACGAAAATAATAAAGATGCTATAAGTGAGTTGCGAAATCTCTCTATTATCTAGAGTAAGTGTAAATAGGGTGGTTCTCCAAATTATGCCATAAGTGATTTTAATTTATTTTGATCCGTTCCGACCAATTAAATCTTAGACATTACACAGGGTCATCATGCTTGTTTTGTCTTTACAGGTAATGCAAACATGAAAGTTATAGCAAAAATGCTTTTCAATATTCACATCTCTGTTGTTCTAATACTTCGATAGGGAAATCGTGCATTTGTGTTCAACATGAAAAAAGCATTTTAATTCTAAAAGCCATACTCACAAACTCTGTAGCCTGTTCAACCCAAGGAACGCTTCACTAGGTATATTTGTTAGGGAATTGTTAAGTAGGTTTCTGGAACAAACATCATTCAAACCAACAGCGTTAATCTTGCAGGAATGTCACAAGCTCCATAATTGTCTACAAATAGCGAATCGGTGAGAAGCCCCAAAATATTTGAACCTTAACCTGTTAACGAAGAAGTCTTCAGGGTTTTGCCAAAACTGACCCATGACTTGTTTTAAGGAATGACGGCCCAGTTTTCATTTTCTGGGGAATGCTCAAACGCATTCGAAATATGGACCCAACACTTCAAAATGGCGCTAAATCAAAAAATATTCATTTATACCTTTACTTTGTCCCCCTCACTAAAGGATGCCCAGATGTTCATATCTGAACATTTTACGAAACATTTGGTGACAAAATCTGAATGCAAGATCAACAGTACAGGACATCACATAGGTACATACACAGTTAACATCCACACAGAGCTATTTGTATAGTCTTGCTTCAAGACTGTGAACCCCCACCCCCTTATCTGCTTCCCCAACACATTACATTGCCTGATGAGAAGAAGATAGGGAGGGGGTCCAGGGTTTTGAAGCAAGACTACTATTTGTACAAGATTAAATCAAAATTACATATTATATTAGATACGAAACTTTTGGTAGAAATGTGGTGTAGCTCTGCCGTCGGAGTATGAATATAAGACAAGGAGGATTGGGTCCCAGAATGCAATCTCAATATTTTTCAACAATGAAAATGTCGTTATTCTGTGAGCCAATCCTCCTTGAATGTGACATACGGAATAAAAAAGCACATATATAAAATGCAGCGTAAATCAAGTCATTTTTCATTCTCTTGAAAATGTGACCATCTTAATATATAATAATAATATCAAATATTAGCTCTCTTTTAAGAAGTGAAGTTGAACGAATGCAAGGGGTACAGCCGAGACTGAACAAGGCATTTCTCTCTTTTCATGATATATTTTTCATTTCTCAATAACTTGTCATTTTTACAGGATAAACCTCAAAGCATTGTATTCCGAGCAAAGAAACTATTTAATTTTGTAAGCTCGAATAAGCAATTTTCCTTACAGCCTAATTACATTAAAAATTGACCATCTTATTTAAAAGGCTGTAATTGTAAAAAGCTTACACAATTTAGTATGTAAGGAATGCTTTGATGATTATAATGTGGAAATTTCATGAAAAGTTGAGAATTGAAAAATTATTAGGAAGAAATATAGGGATGGCTTGTTTTGTCCTGGTTACTATGTTGTTTTACTATTATATGGTAACTTCGCCATGCCAATTCGTTTTTACAAATCACAAAGTAACATGCACGATGTATACTAGATTATACGGGTCTCCCTAGGTTGCATTGAAACTTCCAAACCTGATAAATCCATCCTAAATTGGCACTTTTTAGACAATCATCCGAACGCATACGCAGAGCTACAATATCCTGGATATCTGAGAACAAGAAAGCTTATGTGGGTGTTGGAGCGCCACTTCGTTCAAGGATGATTGGAGACACAATACAATGACACAATTTCAGGAGAAACTTGTGACACAATTTCAGGAGAAACTTGTGTCTTTTTGAATGATTGGATCTTAAAGTGGCAACAAATTAGAGATATTTGGAAAATCGTAAAAAATTGACAAAATGTAGGGTGAGCCAAAAAGGTAACCCAAACAAATGTAACCAACTCATTCATTCAGCGGGTTTAATGTCATATTTGGCATGAAACTCAGTAGAATGAAAGAATATCGAAGGAGGTACAAGTGTGCCAAATATCGCTCTTGCTAAATGCCTGAGTTATTAACATCTATTTGGGCTACCTTTATTGGCTCACCCTGTATCTTTAATATTTTTAAATTTCAGATATTATGTTTGAATTGTGAAGAAAAGTTGAAATTGAACCAGAAAATGTACACTCTATGCTTTGTGTTCTTTAACTGATCATATTGGCCTGATTTAAAGAACTGAAGGATGTTCAAAAAGTTCTGAAAATGCTTTTCAAGGCCACACTACATCAATTCCACATGGCTTACAGATATTATTATGTACTTACAATACTAATGTGTTGGATGGAAATTTTGCAGGTATATTTAAAAGTTCCCTGCTTGAACAGTCCACGAGGAACGTGTCGTCTGAAGTACCATGTGCCCCCTGACGTAATGTGCAGTTACACTGAGACACCTGCTGCCCTCTTTTATCACATACGGTACCTCTGATAAGTCTAGCCATAGAGGAAGAGCTCGAGGTACATTGTACAACAACTACATTTAACACCAATATTAGGGTAATCGGCCTCAGTAGGGCCATTTTGACGTAAATCCGTCTTTTAGAAATCATTTTAATCCTAATAGCTGCTTTAAGACAACCCGCGTTATATAATACACTATGTGTCGTCATATAGTCCCCATCTGACCTTTAAAGTAACGTTAATCCATACATCACTTGATTCTTGTTCTATCCGTTTATATCGTTAATAATATCCATAATGTTTTCAGATCCTGAAATACAAAGAAATTCTTTAGATCTTTTGAAAATAATTCATAGATAAACCAATGTGCTATAACTGATACTATAATTCCAAAAACTTAAAATAAAAATATTCACAATATTTTAGTTAAAAGGTTACATCTTGATCTTCGTATACTGATGAGTATATGACTCACAGCTTGTATTTGCAAATGCAACTTTCGGCTGCCGGCTAACATATTAACCTACTATTTTATGACTCATGAACTCATTTGAATATGAATGGAATAGTGCAGGTACTATTCATATTTAAATTAGTTGTCCATAAAACAGTAGGTCAATCCGGTAGCCGACAGCCGAATTAAAGTTGCATTCGCGAATAAAAGCATTTGTCATTCGTAACTTAAACGAACAAGATTTCTCGGTAAATGAAACTATTTTACTTGAGACAGAAATGCCGTTTGCTCAACTACTAACTACACTTAAATACTGACTTCACCCACTCAGAAGCTATAATTAATTGTTTCATTTATACCGTACTAATCCAATTGAATAGCTCCCAATTGGTATAACATAGGTTAAGTTAGTCTGTTTTCGTTTCAAGTTCTTCTCTCGTTCTGCCTTTTTTGTTTCCAATGGACGGTTGTCTTTTTCTGTGACGACTCTATTCAGGCCAGCAGGCTGTCGGCCGAGGACTATCACTGTGTTTATATCACGCTTGTAGGGTTAGTGTGTTCCAAATTCAATCATGCTGCTGGAAGTGGAAGAGGGAAAACAAATCAGAGAGATTATGGCAGAAAATTTTCTATGAATAGAAGATTTATGATATAATTCCTTTTTCTATGGATCAAAGTCGATTGATCCATATTTACGGAAAATATACGATAAATTAAACAGCTAAAACGTTTTACTTAGACGGATTCATTAGTAAAATGCATAGTCTAGTGAGGGTTTATTCACTGCATACTGTTCTTCTATTGTATTCCATTTAATGTAAAGAAATACATTGATCATCTCACATTAATGGAGCTAGATACATTCACAGTATCTTTCAGAAACACATTACATGGTAAACAAGAAAAGAAAGTGAGAGTCCTGTGAAATATGACCATTCAAACAACATCACTGACGAATCCAGGGGAGGGGAGGGGGCGGCAGGAGGCCTGGCCTCCCCCCTTGGGTGGCCCCAGAAAAGCATTTTGGGGCCAAAACATTTTGAATTGGGGTCCACATTTTTTTTCGTGCAAGCGCGGTCATTTTTTATCTCATTTGAAATTTGCCCCTCTCCCCTTGTTAGCTTCTGGATCCGCCAGTGATTATATATAATTTTATCGTATGATCAGACCAATCTAAATTGTAACGTAGTTTTCATGATTAGTCGTTTCTGTATATTAACCTCCAGTTCTAGAAATTCATTCTAATTATTTTACGTTCGCCATTCTCTATTTGTCTTTGAAAATGATCCCCGTTTAATTAAAGGACATTAAAGTTAAAATATTAATCTAGACGTCTGTTATTTTCCAATATATTAGTCCTATTATGAGCTTGTTACCAATATTTTGTAAAGATAGATGATCATCGAATATCTCATTGCGTCTTCGTTAAGTCGCCGGAGATGATGTAAACAGATTTTCAAATAGCACTCCTCTTTAAATATACGCATGGATTAAGATGAGCCCATTGCGCCCGACACTGATAAGTGCATATGTTCGAGCTATTACATCACAAAATGTCACCACAGTTCTTGTTCCCTGGCGAGCAGTCATATCGTTCTGTCTTGCAACGATAGATGCTCAGATTTATAGAAATATTCTTTGATCGGAGATTATCTTATGGAAACAATGATAACCATCAAAATCTCTGTGGAGCTCATTTCCTCAAGTTGCAAGGAATTTTTTTGATTTTCAATTTTGTCGTCATACTCAATATCATTTTCAGCAAATACACCCCCTGTGATGTCCCATCTTGGATTTCCAAGGTATGTTTTTTTGAAAATCAAACTGGGAAACGAGTATGGTGATGTCCAGGTCACATGCCATGTATATTTTATGTTAGATTGAATTCTAATTAAATAAAAAACGATTTTTCGAAGTTAATAAAACGAACAAGCGCCTTTCCCAGTCTAACATATACGAGGGTATATCATAAAGTTCTCATAAAATTTCATTAGAATATATTGAAAAATAAAAAAATAGAGAGATATTATGAGAACTTTATGATATACCCTCGTATTTGCAAACGATGAGACAAGTTTTATATTTCTTTTGATTAATCATGATGAAAATAAACTCTGTTGACCGAGGCAATGATTACACAGTAGCGTTATCAATAACTGATAGACTTTGAGGATCGACCGTGTAATTTGTGGGGGAACAAACGAATTCGAAGAGATCTATTGTGGAAATAATAACAAAGCAGATCGACGAAATGTAATTCGTAAAACTTTACTCTTGAAACTGCGCGTTCCATTCCAATCGTATTTATCTGCATCTGAAGTCAACTGAATAGTTATGATCATTACTTTCAAATGTGAAACGTAGCTTGATACCATGAAAGAAAAGATGATAAACGGTTCATTGCCATGAACAGTTACCAAGTCAAACTCCAGACCCTTTTTTCATGAAAGAAAAAATGATAAACGATTCGTTGCCATGAACAGTTACCAAGTCAAACTCCAGACCCTTTTTTCTGTTTTGACTCCTACCACCAATCGTATCTTTCTAGCTGTCAGAATATTAGCAGTATGGCATATAAACTTACCACTAATTTCCAATAATGATACATCACAACTTTCAAAGTAAATAAATCGAGTTCATTAATATCTCCTATTGTGTGCAAAAAATGAATATTAACCTTTATTCAACCGTTTTGATCGTGTGATAAAATCACTTTAAAGTAATTTGAAATGGAAACGACATGTCACCTATGCCACTACCCTACCACATATGAGTATACTAGAGGGCGTATCAAAAAAACGCAACAAGTAGTTATCTCGTAAAATCACAAAACTAGTGATGACTACATAAATTTCATTTAATGTACCATAAAGCCAAGTCTCTCCTCTTTGTAATGATATGTCATTCATTCGCATGTGGTAATGGTTGGGTGAGAAATCCTTCCATTTGCACAGTGGGTCAAAATCGGCTCTGCGCCAAGTTTTAGATATTGAAAAAATCAGTGCAAGGGATAAGTGCCAATGGAAGTTCCCCTGACTTGAATTGTTGTGACTTTTTCTTTTGGAGCTATCTCAGATGCATCTGTGCTCACAATTCCTCCACCAGATATTGCAAAACCTCGAGAAAGATTTGCCCATGGGCTGCTTTTTTTGCTTTAACCCACACATGATTCAGGGCTGAACCATGCATGACGTGGGGGTTATAGGATGTATTCTTGCAAGAGTAAGAGTATGAACACTTTACTGTCATAGCCCCTATGCCCCTTGTACTGACTTTTGCAATGTTTTAAACTTGGGTCCAAGCTGAATTTTGCCCTACTTGCAAAATTAATGATTATTCGGCCAGAGATGACTCCCTGTGAATGAATGATATTCCATTGCAAAGAGGAGTAATTTGGCTTTTTGGTGCATTGAATTAAAAGGATGCAGTCATCATTGGTTTTATGTTTTCGTCCAATATTGCATCGTTCTCCGTACACTGACTTTTGCAATGTTTATAACTTGGCCCGAAGCTAATTTTGGCCCCTTTGCAAATGAAATGATTACTCACCCAACCATGACCAAGTATCAATGAATGATATATCATTGTAAAGAGGAGACACATGGCTTTATGGTGCATTGAATGAAATCAATGCTGTTATCACTGGTTTTGTGCTTTTCCAAGATAACAATCTGTTGCGTTTTTTTTGATACGCACTGTATTGTGCATTCTAAGCATTTCAAACTATGATTTGTTAATGTTTTTTTCAATAAATTCACAAAAAAGCTCAAATACAAAGGTGTGGAGTACTGTGTGGGTCTACTCCTGCCCTGGCTCACCCTGTATAATTGCAAACTCGTTCATTGAACCCTGACAAGGCAAGTACAAACGTTAGGCATTGAGAGATTCTAATGAATGACTAATAGCCTCATATACTTGCATAGTGATATGATATCATCATTGGAAAGCTATAAACGATACGAGCCAATTACAACTATCTCTGCCAAGGGACACAAAATGTCGATTGCAACTAAGTTTAGACCCATTAAAAGTGAACGTAGTTTGTTATTTGTTAGAAGCAATAAAAGAGCTTGTTTATGCATTATGTAAAACAAAAAACTGTACTTGTTTGGGGGTTAAATGAAGCACGACTGTCATAAACTACATCTCACGTGTTTCATGCATTAGGGACTTTGTTCCGAACTCAAGTATATCTGTGGTCAAACGCATCATTATAAACCATGACTTAAATAAATATATATTAAAAAAAAAAAAATAAACCATGACATCTCAAATCTTCTCAGCCCTCTTTCTGTCTCAGGTGAAACAGAAAGATGCTATGAGTATCAGAAAGGGTCAAACGCAGAAACTTATATTGCTTCTGCCCTGTTTTCTTTTAAGGGGAATTACCCTTCAAAAACTTAAGAACGCTGCGTGATCTGGAACAAAAGCTAATAAACCGGCCATGGTTCTTTCCAAAAGAAAATACACAACTACTTCGACATGTTTTGGCATTTACTTGTTTTTGCTTGTGGTTTATTTGACTATCATCAGACCTTGAGTGTTTTGAGGAAACATGTCAATTAATCCAAAAGAATGTAGAACTACTCTTCACCTAGTTACAAATATTGGTCACTCTTGGAACGCTTGGATTACATACTCGTAGTTTGTCTACATCTTGGATTTCCAAGGTATGATGTATTCATTGAAAATCAAACTGGGAAACGAGTATGGTTTGTCTAAAGGTATGTGGCAAAAAGATGGTGTTGCAGTTCTCGATCTAAAGGGACCTGTAAACAATGATACAACCACGTAAATAATCATTTTCAACAACAGAACAATCCGCCTTTAATTTTGTCATGAGAACATATCTGCCAAAAGCTGAACAAATTTTGATGAGGATAAAAACTAAGCCAGTTAAACCAAGACGGTAAAGCTTGACCAAACTTCGCGTCTGTGAAACCTTCTAATGTTAGCTGTAAATTGACACCACTAGTTGAGTCCAAACAATATGTTAGAAAAAATGATAAAATTATGAGTCTAAATATTCTAGAAACTTTCATCCACACTGCTTCAAAATCAATACACATTTACATTGGAGTCGCATATTCCTAACCTTGTCAACATTTTTATTGTATATGTCTCTGTTAACTAAAATTTCATTCTATAAGCTAATTCTTCGTCGTGTGTATGGGAGTAATAATATTTTAGAATTCGAGAAAATGTGTTGGAAAAATAAAGAATTATATTATTCATCACCTTGACATAATCGTTTCGTTTGAACTTAATTCAAAATGACACTATGATAACGAAAATAAATAGACAATGGGAAGTAATATGACGTTTGTAATAGATAGAGAGACATGAAGTACGGCAATAGTAGAACGCCAAGCTCTTATAGAACGTACAGTCCTCTGGCGGATCAAAGTGGGGGGGGGGCTCAATTAGTTTACATTTTGGGGCATTACTTGGTCTTTTGGGCCTTATTTTCTAATTTAAGACCAATGCAAATTATCAAAATACGTATGGGGCTTAAATTTGAGCCATTTTTTGGTTTCAGGTGCCCAATTTTTCCTGACTTGACTTGACTTGCCCCCTCC